TGCACTGGTAAAAGCAAGAAAAGCAAGCTGGCTAACAGCGGTCAGGGCACAGGGCTTGGCTGACAGTAGACTGACCACAGTGTTCTTTGGAAAGGAGAATGACATTTAACACAGATGGTTGTGATGAGCAAGCAGTGAGGTGAAGGTTGCTGCTGATAGGTGTGTATATGTGTATGGGGAAAGTCTTTGTGTATCTAGAAGTGCAGGGGAAGTGAAAGGGAAGGCACGATTAGTGTGTCATGGACCAAACATGGAATCACATAGGAGGCCAAAGAGTGTGTGAGAGGCCAGTCGTGCATGAGAAGGGAAGAGCAGTGCATATGCCAAGATTGAACATAGACTGTGTTTGTACCTCTGCCCTGTAGCCCTCTGACTGCTGGGGAGGAGGTGGCACTACTGGGGTGTTGAGCATGCAGCAGGAATATACAGGGGTGAAATGCAGAGCAGAGTGATAGATCTCATCAGAAGGACTGGAAGTAACTCTTAAGAAGTGGAAAATACCTGTGAGAGCTGTTGCTGGTAGCACTCCTCTTGTCATACTGATCAAGAAAAGAGCTGAATACGGAACTTAGATCTTTGTGGTCAGGACCAGCTGGTTACTGAGCAGTTGGCTCTAAAGAGCCACCCAGGTCTGCAGATGTGTGCAGTGCGTGCCGATGGGCCGTTAATGATGATGGGCTCAGTGTGCAAGGACAGCAGCTGTGGGGTGGGCAGTGCACAGGGACAGGCTGTGCTTGGGGGCAGAGCAAAGGAGCATTTGTGGGTTTTCAGAGCCCAGCCAAGATCTGAAGTGAATCCAGGACCTTGGCAGCAGTGTGGGTGGAAATGTGGGTGTGTATGCAGAGGAGCATAGCACTGCAATGTGACAGATGCACGATTTTGTGAGGAGGAGTTCAGGATGAGTTGTAGCATGTGAGTTTGGAAGATGGCAGCGCCAGTGGTGATTGGAATATATATTAGCAGCTATTAGGGATTTTAAGGCATTACCTATTACACACTCTGAGAAAGGACAGCTGTAACATTTTCTATACCCCCCCAGTTTCACCTCATTCAGGGAAGGAATATCTGCTTGCATTTGCAATACAGCTTCGTATGAATTTCTGTGAATTAGATGCATGCTGTAAGGACTGGTCAGCCTTGTGTCTTAATGAGTAGAGGAGAACAAGCAGGCACTGGGACATCACAAAATTTAAGAAAAAAAAATGGACCGTGTAGGATCTTTTGTCTCTTTAACACGCATCTTCACCAGGTATCTCCGGGACTTTCCCCACGTGCCTGGATTTTCTGAGACTAGCAGAGTTCATGAAAACCTCCACTGACCGAGAGGCTGTCTGCACTGACCTTTCTCTGAAGTACTTGATGGCTTCCTGGTCTAGGAAGTTCTGTTCTTCTCGAAAGCCCTGCTCAAAGATTTTGCGCTTGTGTCTGAACTCAATGACAGTCTTAGTGTAAGAGTTCAAGGTAGTAACGGAGGCCGCCATGCAGCAGGTGAAAGAACCCCATGCCAGACTGTGGAGAGAGAAACCAGCAGACAGCTGGGTTAAGACAGTAGCTCATGTTATGTTTCTGAAGCCAAGAGACACACACACACACACAGGATGCGACCGGGCAGGTAAGTCAGCAGTGACAAACCCATTCTCCTCATCTTACCTCCAGCGACCTCTGGCACATGCTCAGTCACGCTGGCAGGATGCTGAGCTAAGGGCTGGGCACAGCTTCGATCCCATCGGGAACCATATGGAAGAGTGCTAATCTTAACACTCTGGGCACTCTGACAAAATTCCAGCATGTCTTGATTTCTCTTTGCAGTGTTTCAGATACTAGCAGGCAAGTGCTAAATGCAGTATGGAATTCCTGGAAGGAGCTGTACAGAAAACTATAATTCCTCAGAGAGCATGGACACTAACTCCCAACACAACTTGACGGGTGGTTTCTACTCCATTTTACTTTCATCAGGTTAATATCTTTATGCTGTTCCTGCTTCAGGGTCATTTCTAGCATTTCCGGCTTACATCCAGTCTCCAAAAGCCCAACCAGAGCAGAAGACAACAGTTGCGTTTTGTAGAGGGCCCCAACCTGAGGGCTGTGACCCAAGCATGCAGGCAGTGCTAGTCAGCCTTTGGCAGCCCATGGTGTGCATATGCAAGTAACAACCAGGAACACGGGGAGACAGCAGGAGAAGGAAGTGGAAATAAAGTGACCGTGGCGGTGCCAGGCTGGATCAGCAATGTTAGCATGGGGCTCCTAGCATGAAGAACTCCTTTTGTTTGCAGAAATTATCCATGTTCAGGCTCCCCTGGACATTGCATTCAGCCCATCAGCTCCAGGTATGTGTTGTTCACATTGAATTTTTAACAAACTTAGATTAACTTAATTATCTGTCAGCTACACGTTTAACCTGCTCCTTTCTTTCATCTTTTCTGTAACCAATTTTAACACTGTTATAAATTATGCAGGAAAGAAAAAACAGCACAATAGCATTACCTCATAAATAAACATTATAAACAGAGCCCTCAGCATGAACTGTTTTCCCATTCTGCATATGTTCTGCAGACAAGGAAACAGTTCTTCGTTAAAAATTAAGCGAAGAACATGTATTCATGAACTGAAAAATCTGGGGGAAAAAATGGTTCAAGTAAACAGAAATGTCTCATTTCAGTGACTTCAAAATTCAGTGCATAACAACAGTCCTTTAGGGACTCCTGTGGCAATAAAGTGTGTAGAGGCAGCTTTTTCCTTGGGATTTTTGAACCTGTCTGCCAGATGCAACCAGATGAGATAGAAGTGCAGGGACTCCTAAGGGGATGAAGCTTTGTTAGGGTTCTCGTGGTTGTGTTGAGAAGCAGGAAGGAGACTTGTGTTGTGTGTGTCCAGAATCGCAGGCACAGGGAAGCCTTGCAAGTGGCTTCAAACAGTGTGTGGAGAATTTCCAACATCCCCAAATATTTCCAGCTGGTCTCCTAATTGATTTCAAGGAAGAAGCCAGCTGAAACCACACGCTTCACTGTGCCTGCTTAGTGCCTGGTGAATAATATACGGAGACACTTATTTTTTCTTAAAGGCTTGTGATAATTTCTAATTATTAACTCAGAAATACTGAAAGGTTCAGAGAAGGAAATGCAGAACAAAGACTCTGGTTGTGACCTCAGGTTTGGCATTTAGCAAATCATCATCACAAGACATTTATGACTGATATATTTTAGCTTGTATGGACCCTGGTTAAATTTAAATGTAAAGGGTGCCGAGTTGCATCCTACCTTAGCAGAGACCTCTTTAGCAGCAGTGCCTCCATGCCAGCTGTGGATCAAGTGTAGTGGGATTGCATCTGCACTGCCTCTGGTGGCTCAGCTTAGGGCTGTGCTTGGTTTGTGGCTCAAACAGCTCCAACTTGTGCATTTGTTTTGTTTCTGGAGGGGCCATGCTTGGACATCCATTGATCCTCCGGCCTGCTGAAATTCGCTGCCTGCAGGACATCCTGCTCCACTCCTGACTTGTGCCTTTGTCAAGGGCTTGGGAAAATGAGGTAAGGTAACATGGACCAAAGGCCACACTGCGAACCCTGTGACACAAGCAGCTATTCCTCACTTTGGGAAGTGTAATTATCATTCCCATTTGATAATGCAGAAATAAAGTTACAGGAGATATAGTTTTCCCATTGTTACATGGAAAGTGAACGACAGCCTGGATCTCCATTCGTGCCCTGTGGTTCTTAGCCATGGCTCCTTCCAGTGCTGTTGCAATTCTCTGTGCTCTAGCTGGTGGTTTACCAGGATGCCATACAGGACCTATGAGCCTCTGATGGCATGGTGCCTCTTGTCTTGCACGGGATGGAAGAGAATACTCTGACTGATTTGTCATGCAAGATGTTTAGCAACAGTCTGAATGTTTAGTTCTCTCATGATTACTAAAAACAGATAGCAAGCATTACTGTTTAATTATATTAATAAATATACAATAATTACTATTATATATGTTATAAACACTTATAATAATTTTATAAGCTCATTATTGTATGCAATAATGAATATTTACCATTAATACAGTTAATAAGGTGTGCTTTTAAAAAAATGTTGTTTATATTTAATGATACGTTACTAAAATGTTTATAAGTCCTCTCATGAAACACGGTCTACTGAGGGGAGGAGAGACTAATAACTCCCTGCAGTGCTGTGCGTAAGATGTATTTGTATTCATTTATTGGTGTTTGCAAAGATTGTTGTCTGAGCTTTGAAGTGGAATTAAAATGATGCAATATATTCAGAAATGAAAGAAAAACTCAAGTATTTTCCCCATTAGCCATACAAAGAGGATGATGCTTCTGGAGGGATGTGAATGTTGTCTGCAGTGTTTGTCTTTTTATTCTCTGCATTCTCCTTTTCTTATCAAGCTTCTTAGAAACTTGCAAATGATGTAAAGCGGTTGGTACATCTTGACCAAACTATTTTTATGTAATTTTCAAAGATAATGGGAAAGTTTCAAATATATATAAAACAACAATTCTCCTAAATGTCTATTGTTCCAAACCTCCCATGACTCACAGGGAATGACCATGGTGCTAGGAGTGCTATGCATTCCTCTGCAGCTGTGTCAAAAATTGCACTGTAGGGTTCAACAAAGACATTAATTATAACAACAACAAAACCCCCCTAAAACTCTTTGAAATGCCATGGTAATTATGTACCTAAATTGAACTTTAATGAGAGTGCTCAATCTGCGTTGGTAATTGTGGCTGCTGTTTATTTAGAAATGCTATGTACCTGCTGATATGCACAGCTGCTGCTGCACAGTTACTGATAACTGTCCTCTGTCTTTCAGAACTGTCAAGAACATGAACTGTCCTTCAATGATAGTATGGCCATGGTGGAGTTTTGCTCGTAGTGTTTTGGCAGCTGGAAATTCACATGCATGTTCCTGGCAATTTGAGATGACATGTACTGTCACCCAACAGGTTGATGGACCAACTCAGAAATGAAAAGATACTAAGAGGTGGTGACACTTACCAGAAGGACCATCCATAGTCCCATGAATGTGGCCTCCAGTCCTCTGGCCCGAGGCTGACTGTCACTTGGAACACTTGAGTATACATCATGTGTGCCACCATCCCCAAGAGACCTGAGAAGCAGAGAGCAGAACAGCTGAATTTTTTTTTTACAGTTCTTGAGACAGCCGCTGCTGGAAGTGCTCTGAGAGCTCCGCCGCAGGCTTTGCTGTATTTTCATGTCTCCTGTTCTCCTGCGGAGGTGCGTGCAGAGGAAAGGTGTGACTGAGAGCTTGCTGTTTTACATGGTAATGAAACCTCAATTAAGAGAAAAGTTAAAGAAAACCACTGAAGGAAATATGGCACAGTCAGCATCACCACCAACCTTGCTGCTGCAAAACAGGGGATTGCCACCCAGAAGGCATCTCACAGCCTGACCCAGACAGGCCTCAGGTGAGAGAAAGAGAAGAGACGCTTTTGTAGACAATGCTAGGGTGGATGTGTCAGTTCCAAACAGAACTATATTTTAGCTGAATAATTGATAGATATGTAAATTTGTGCACTTATAAAACGCTTGGATGTTACACAGGAAAGTTAAGAGCATTCTTAGTAATGTGTGATGAGACAATCATAGGAATACTTTTGATGATGCTTGCATTGTGGCGCAACTGTATTTTGCTGAGAGAAGTGCAGCTGGAAGATCAGGCAGTGTATTACAGGCACTGTGCTCCCTGTGATGCTAAAGAGCAGAGCTGCAGGCAAGTCACAGGGTACGTTACCACCAGCATGGCTCTTCAGCAGAAAAATCTGCCTGTATTTTTTACATCTAGACGTCCCACTGAGGGAAAGCAAACGTCACTTTTCAAGAACTGGTGGCAAAAAGCAGCTCTGATGCTTGGAGAACTTTCTAGCTACAGTAGCTAGAGATACAGCTGCTTAAGTACTGAGCAGTGCAGCTGAGCTCACCAAAAGCGTAAGGTCAAGCAGTTAGCTGAGAGTAAGGCAGGACCGTCCATTTTCCTACAGATGTTACAAAGCACCCCATGCTGCAGCAACAGCTCCAGACACTTTGAAATATGGATGTTCTGCCCCAGCAGGGTGTATTACACTTTGCCCCTTAGTTGAAATCACCTGATATCTCAGACCATTCATGTTTTTTCACTGTGCCTTTCCTCCAGGTGGCAGATCCCAATTTTCTCTCCCCTAGACCCAAATTTTGGCTCTTCTAAACTTGACTCCTCCTTACTTCCAGAATCAAAAGCACTTCATTAGTCTCACATCACACACGTGGAATGATGTAGGGCAATTCTGGGGGAGGCAGCCAGGGGAATTATGTGTTTCTGTTGCAGGTATGTTAAGCAGGACCTTCAGCAAGACAAAATTTATATTTGCTACAAACTGCTGCACAGGCTGAACGAAGATATTTTATTACAGAAAACTGCAGGGAATTGCTCAGCTGCTCCATGTCAGTGTGACACACTGGGTAGTCAGGAGGAGGAAAGAGCAGATCCCACAGGCAGAACTGGGATTTCAGCAGGGTGGGAGGCCTCGCAGGAGCACAGCATGATGCTGCACACCTTCATTGTCTCTGGCTACATTTAATTTCCAGAATTCATTGGGAGCTTGCTATACTTCTTAAGTAAATGGATTTTTTTCCAGCTGATAGGTATGATATTGATGTTAAAAATTGGTGCTTTGCTGTTCCTATTATTTCTGCCAGTAACTTTTCAACTTTGATAAAATATTACAGACTACCCTGAGGCATGTCATTGTCACTCAGTCACCAGGAGGTTTGGCACAGCCAGGACTAACTACAGCAAGGCTGTTCTGTTCTTTTCTTTCCTACAGAACTTAGATGGATGTTTCAGCAATGTTCAGCCCGTTTGCTGAGTGGGAGGCCAAGATGACAGTCCATTGACTCAGGTGAGTAGGAGGTCGTGAACAAGGGCTGCTGGAACACAGGGATCAAATTGAAGCTGGCACTTATTACTTCTTCTGCCTAATGGGAAGAGGGTTGGGAGTGACATCTGAACCAGAAAATTATGCTTTGGCAGTTTTTAGCAGACTTTTTTTTGTCCTCTCAGATTCTTCTTCTGATCCAAGTTTTATATCACTAACTGCATTTCAGTTTGAGGCGGTCCTGAAGATTGACGCTCCTTCACAGAAATGTGCATTGCATGTTATGATGTCTTTCAGCTTGAAACACACCAAAACAAAATTCTCTTAATTCAGATGTTCTATCTGCCAGAGAAGTCCATCCAGGTGTGCTCACAAAAGCCAGCTGTGGCTAGTTGCTTGTATAAATCCTGGGAAGCAGAGCGCTGAGCCAGTGTAGAAGTGAAGTGGTCCTTCATTACGTGGTTAGATCTGATAACTTTTAGACAAGTGAACTCCTTAAGTTCATACATTGAAAGGCTCCAGGCACAGACAGAGCATGAAAACAGTCTGAACCAGTTGTTCTGAAGGATATACTTGTCCCAAACTTACTCTTGGGATTTCCCCTAAGTGTGATTACTGGAATCCTTTTCATTCTCAGTTTTGCCGATGAACAAGATAAACATCTTTCTTTGGTTTGGAGTGTCAAGCCCTCATATGCTCTTAGGATTAACACAGAAAAAAGAATTTTCAACACAATATATTTCTCATTTCCTATCGCATTATCAAAATGATGTTGCTGAAGAAGGAGGCTGAGACCCTGGTAGTGGCTGGGCAGGGTATGGGAGAGGCTAATTACTGCATTGCCATTGTGAAATCAGAGCTGTGCTTTTTTACTTCTTCCTAGCAAGAGGTGAATTTATTATGCTGCTCCAGCTCCCAGTTCACAGTGGAAGTGTGATAGTTCAGAGGAGATAAAAGAGTCTTGTAGCCCCCAGTTTTTATCCCTTCAGAGTTTTAGCATTTTGATTTGTCTGGTTCTTATGGCAAAAAGGGGAAGGAACACTCATACCTGAAAGCACGGTGAAGACAGCAGCAAAGGCATTTAACTTGAGCCCATCTATTACACTGCTTGAATGAAAGAGCTCGAGGCACATAAGGCTGAAACCGACGACTAACAGCATGATGTATAACACCTCAGATACTACTGACAACCATAGGACACCTGCAATGTACAAGAGAAGCAACTGGTCACTTAAATGCTAAATACTTCCATGGTAGTCAAAGTAGGTCAAAGGTAGTAAAAATGATTAGGAAATCAGAAACAGCAGTAATTGGATATTCAAAAAGCTTAAATTTAGTAGACAACCACCTAAACTCTGAGAAATAGAAAAGGTGATGAATGAAGATCTGAAGAATAGAAGTGTGATAAAGATATTAGAGAAAGAACAAGCTGTTGGTTAGGATCCCAGCTTGGCTAGAGAACCTCTTTTTGAGAACCTAGAGCATCTTGACTCCTGTGACCCAAAGCATAGGATATGGAGTCTATTTTCCCCCCGGTATGCCATGACTTAAATAAACAGAATCTAGCATGCATGGTGGTGATGGCACACATAATTTAAGAGTGTGGTTGGTGAGAGATGTCCATTTTTAGATATTTCTTTTTGGCAAGGCTGTTCAAAGAAAATACTTCCTGTCCAGGTTTGAAATACATAATACTTGGGCTTTATTCTTAGAAATTCCCTTTCACGGAAGTTAGCATTTTGCAGAATGATTGTTGGTTTTTGGAGATCCGATCATGTATCTGCTGCTGGGATGAATATGAAAGATGCCACAATACTGGTGGGGTGGAGACAAGTATTTATAATCAGTTGAAAAGCTGCAGGTAAAAAAAATAATGATGTGCAGCATTCTGTGTCCTCAGCCCCTAGGTATAATTCCTCAGGTGAAGGGTCGATGTGCCCCATTTGAACCTTGTTTTGTAGCTCTTTGGGGTTGGCCACAGATACGTGGTCCTGGCTGCATTTTGGTAGTGGCCATGTGAGGCTGGTGCATTTGTTGTAGATGTTACATTTGGAAATTTCAGCACAAAGCCTCTAGCGGGATCCGCTGCGTCTTTGAAAGTCAGCAAGCCATGGGGTAAATGTGAGAGGATGGTAACAGATGATAATAGTAAGTCCCTGCCAGATTCCCAATTGCTGTTTCAGCATTAAGGACCTGCTAGAATTCTTCCGTACATTTGCTAGTGTAACTGCTAGAGAATTCACCTGGAAACAACAGGCAGTGATGGAAAATTTCATCCTAAGCAATTGAAACATGGAAAATTAAGCATTTGAAGACAATGGTGTATATTAGAAAAATATAACCATAGTTGTAACCATAGAGACTATCACAGAATTCACTTATAAATATACATTCTCTCCCCACTGTAAGAACATGTATGATAATGTACGTAGGTGAGCTTAGTAAATCAGACACCCAGTCTCACTTTTATCAAATATTTGAGTCTTATCAGTGACCAGGATGATCCCGGTTCACATTTTGTCTGAGAAACTGCATCTGATTAATATGTGTGATTAATTGTCACCATATCTGATTTTTTGAGTTCTTAAGCAGTGCTACAAAGATAGCTGTAAACAAGCCTTTTAATTTCTTACACTGACTTTGTGTAATATTGCATCTATCACCAGCAAACAGCTGCTTTTTTCACGTTTATTAGTCAATTTGGTATCAAGGCAACTGGCAACGCTTCTCTGAAAAGAAATAGGAGAGAGAGAGCCAAGGTATTGTTCTGAGATACAGCAGGATTAAGGAGAGATTTTACCCCATTTTCTTAAAACCATAAGTTTCTATAGCAAGAAAATGATGAAATGCTTTGAGTTGGAATGAATCAGGTTATGTAAACCTGATTGTAACCTGAGGCAGCTGGAAGCCCTGACTAGTTCAAATTCATAAATTCCTCCACCCAACCTTGATAAGAATAACACAAAGCATGTCTGCCCCAATGCTTGTTTATTCCCCATTTTAACTTCTGGGGATACTCACTGCTGGTCCCTACAGGCCAGTGTGGTGCTGTAGCAGTGACTGCAGTTCAAGGCTGTGGTGTGGCTCTGTCCTCTACTTCACTGGATGTGTAATCTATCCTCTGTTTCAATCCCTCTTCTTGCAAGGTTTCCTTTGTCTCCTCCTGACCTATGCACGTGACCCCTACCCTCACCCTGCACAGAAGCACATCTCTCAAATAATCATGTGCATGCATTTGCTCTGATCATCTCCAGCATCTTTCCAGGGCATTAAAGGTAAATCTCCTCGGGCTGTGCAGAACAGTGCTGAGCACAGCATTGCAGTGCACAGCATCTCCTAGCACCACTGTAATATTAGTGTTTACTGGTATTGGTAACATGGACATTTCTAAGAAAAGTGCTTCAATCTGCCTCGCATGCTCTATAACAATCTCTGGCTTGCTTCCAAATTAAATGTGGATTTGAGATTTGGTATTCTGGGAATTGAAGAGGCCTCAATACTAAGTCCTGATGCTGAAGATTGTTTGATGTAAGCTTATAAAGTAATCATGATTCATTTTCTGAGCAGATGAAAAAGTTATTTTCACCTGAGAGCTAGAGCTAGATTTATTTGGTAAATAAAACATGTCACCCATTGTCTGTTTTGTTCATATAATATACAACCGAAAATACTAACTTCACCTTCAAAGTTCTGGTGATTCTTTTTGCTCTGTCTCTCTCCAGCCTGATTGCTATTGCTTCCTCCCCAGCTTCCAGTGCAAAGCTTATCAACCTCAAAACCCTGTTCCAAATGATGAACTGCAGTTGTCATTCATTCACCTTTCAGTTTGTAAATTTCTTTTTGCCCAAAGAAACCAAGAGCTTGGAGATTTTCTAAGCTTCCAAAAGCACAGGCAATTCATTAATATTTGTACACTGTCACTGTCTTCCATCATCACACTATTAAATAAGCAATCTGATGCAGTTTATAAGGAGTGGGAGAGAAAGGCAAGTTCAATGTAAATGTCATCAAGAAGTAATCTAAGCCAATTGCTTTAAGAAGTTAGGAAAGCCAGTGTGGTTTTACTGACCATCTCAGGATTCCTATATTTTGGCTTCTGGAGTTTACTTCAAGTATGTAAACTGCATGTAAGCTACCTATTGCCCACCTAGGAACAGGTGCTTGAAACTGGATGCTGTAGACACAACTGTAATGAGTTTGAGAAATGCTGGGAAACTACAGAGATGCACAGTTTGTCTCTATAGAAGGGCCCAGCAGGCAAAGCTGCAGCTCCCAGAGCCCAGCACATGGGGACACAGCATTTAGTACAGCACTAAGAGCCACAGAGACAGAAGGGGGAGCAGAAATTCTGCTCAAGTCAGTGTGGTACTGCTTGGACTGTATGTTGATGCACTGAAAGGATTGTGACAGAGCTGGAAATGAGGGTGGTGATTATCAGAGACTGTCCTCTATAGGGGATGGAGATGCTTATCTATCAACATGACTTGCTGTTTTGCATTGTTTACTGTATGCCAGGGGCTGTGATGCTGCAGAGGACTTGCCTAGGCTCATCTGGCCCTCACACTATTGTGTCTTGCAGCTCATGCATTATGTGGAATACTGCTAGAAGTAGCCTTGATCATATTCAGAGTGACTGTAGAGGTCTGGGAGGTAAGAGTGAAGGGCACAGGAGCCCTGTTGGTCAAAGAGAAAGTGACAGGAGGAAGAAACACAGTGACTGTGGTTGGTGTCACAGGAAGTTTGAGTTCTCTAACAGTAGGTCTCTGAGTAATGAGAGCAGTAAGTGCTGCTGAGAGAAATAGGATCCACCCGGTCAAACAGGATGAGAAACTTTATTCCAGTATGATAGTTTCAGAGGTAGTTTCTTGTGGAAGGTATGGACACTTCTTCCTTCTTTGAGTCCTGGTCCTACCCAGAAGGACAGGATCAGGACCCTCACATCTTACTTCATATTGTAAGTTGAATATTTGCTTTGTACCTTTTAAAAAGTATCCTTAATACAGGGAGAAGGTAAGTCACACATACAGCATTTACACAGTTGTCTGTCCTTTCCTGCCTTTTTTGAGTTTGAATCTCATCTGAAAGAATAATGTCCTGCAAATGCAAGCTGTATCTGCATTCTGCATCTTCAGGTAGAAGATGATCAGAAGCAGAACAGTTCTTCATTCTTGAGAGAATGTCTCCTTGCTCAGTGCTTATGTTGAAGTGATCTCCCAATGTTCTGCTCCCAACTTGAGATTCATCAGGCAGTCCCTTGCTAGGACTTAACTCCACTTCCAGCCTCAAAAGCCTCCCTCCTGCAAAGCAAAGAGCTCCATCTTTAGGGGAGACCTCAGTTGTTCCATATGACAGGCAAGAAGCTCTCTCGAGGGTTTTTCTCTTCTTTCTTTGTCTTCTCTTGTTGCCTTTACTGTCTCAGTACCCATCAGCCTCTGTCGTCTGCCACCGTGGTTTGTCTGACTTAACTCAGCCTTTAATTATTTCCTTCAGAGTGGTCAGCACTTGGTTCACTAGGAGTCTCCCACCTGGACGGCCTTCACCTCCAAGGATCTGTATTCTTCCTTTCAACATTTGGTCTTTGTCCCGTGTATGCTTTCGGCTTGCTTCTTCACTAAATTAACTGTTATGTGAGAACAGAGCGTTGCCATGAGCTCATGTGCAGAGCTCGAGATGTGTGTTAAGCCAAGGACATTCCTTGTAAGTGCAGAGAGGTTCCAGCTCCTGACTGCCTCTTCCTCACAGTGTGCAGCATTAGCCAGGCAGTGTCATCCCTGCTCACCTTGCAGTGTTGTGGCAGCAGTGTAAGACTTCCTAACAAAGAATGGCCTTCTACTTTAAAGCAAAGCAAAACTGCTTCCCTTGCACTGCCATATGTGCATTCTCACAAACAAAATATATTCAGACAATATTTTCAGGATTCCCTGAAATGATATTGGGTGAGAGGGATGCTGCCTGTCAAGTCCACCTCACACCTCCTGAGCTTTTAGCAGGCTATCAGCAATGTGCTATGTTCTTGTCTCAGACAGGAGCTGACAGCAGTCTGTCTCACTGTTACATCTCTATTACACATCGCAATTTACCTGCTGTCCTGTGTCTCTCAGCATGGTGTCATGAGAAGGTACATGTAGGTAGGAGGATTTTGATGACTTAGTAATCTCATTACCATCCAACACCTGCTGTTCTGATATCTTGCCATTTCTT